AGCTGCTGTCTGCTTAGGTTTGAGTTTAGGAAAACTAATTGAGGGCTGTTTGATTATTTTTCTTTGTTTAAGTCTATTACTTTGATTTTGAGCATGTCATATATGGGACTGAATACATTTTTTGGTGATAGTAAATACATGAAGATGTTGTTGTGCACATTTAAAGGTTTTGCAAATATATTTAACGGGGTGTTGCATGAATTATGTGGACGCATTATGGCTACTGATTCTGGCCAGTTATTTAAACTCCACTTTTTGCAAATTTATGTTTATGTTAGATTTGTTGCTTCTAGTTTGATTAAGATGTGAAGATATAATTCTTCTTAATAAGAGAGCTCTAGTCCATGTGATCAGGCAGATGTTCTATCACATGTTGATGTTACTCTTCTGAGAGTGATATTGTACTAGATATTCAATGTTAAAAGCATTTTATATTGTTCGAGAAGAATATGCTTAATATGTTCTTCAGTGCAAGATAAAACTCTACTAGTGTCGATTCGTTTGTTGTTATTGTGTTAAATTTCAAATCTATTAAGAAATAGAATTAATTGATAATTATTGAGATGTTTCTTTTCTTTTTGTAATTCTTGCAGATATATGCCTATTATTTTCGTACTTAACAGGTATGTATTTTGTTATACTCGTATTACATTTTTTTTAATCTTGTTTATAAGATGTGATAAAATGACTTAAAGTTGATATCGATATATGTTAAATTTCGCGATGCAGGAGGATGCTATCAAAACTTTCTTGGTCAAGATGGCGAATTTTTTACTAGGAATATTAGTTATTTTTTCTTGATTTGTTGGAATTGGAGATATGATTCTTTCATGATCATTTTGTGCTACATTATTCTCTTGTACATACACGAGCACAATGTTAAATTACAATGTTAAAATTTGATGGATTGTGTTAGTATGTTTTTGTTATATTCATGTTTGGGTTGCTTTTTGGTACGTGAGGTTTATGATTTAAGTCACTTGGTTCTTGTTTACTGGTATATGGGGTTATTGTATACAGGCACAAAAGGCATTAAAAAAAATACACATGGATAAGCTTGTTTAAGAATGTGTTATATAAGATCATAATCTCAGATAGCACTTCTTTTAAATATGTTATGTGATCAATATTATAGATAACACTTAATATTAAAAAGTGTTATGTGAAAGGTTCATTACATAACGCGTAGTATAAAGTGCTATGTGAATGGTCCTTCACATACCGCTTAATATAAAAAAGTGTTATGTGAAATGTTATTCACATAGCGCTTAATATAAATAAGTGTTATGTGAAAGGTTCTTCACATAACGCTTTACAAGTGTTATCTAAAGAGACCGGTCTTCAGATAACACTGACTCCGATAACGCTTAAAAGCGTTATCTGTAGAAAAAAAAAAGCGTTATCTGAAGCCTTTTTTGGCGTAGTGATTATTTATCCAAACCTAATTACGAAGCATGATTCTTCGCCAAATAGGATTCCGAAGCACCAGAAGCAGCCACGTAGGCTCAGTGCATTCGGGAATTATATATAGGGAGGATAGTCATGTATATTATCCACGATTCACAGCTAACGCCTCCAAGATACAACGACTTGTATAGCGGTAACTCAAATACACAAACCTTCGGCGAACAATACTTAAGTTTCGGAACTCTCAAAATGGAAAAGAAAAGAACACAAGATGATTTATGAACTTTGGTAAATGATGCAAACAGCTCATGAAAATTTGATGTCTTGAATGATTTCATGTTTGTGGTTATAGATGTAGGATAACACCTTTAAGAGATTTTAAGTGTCAAAAGACATCTTTTGAGACGTGTCTGAACGAGAGCGGATGCATCTTGTGGTCAAAAGACACCTTATGGTCACCAAGGGTCGCGACCCTTCAGTGTCCGCAGCCAGCTACGGGCTCGCACGAGCTCATACAGACTCGAAATCGAGTTTCGTTTTCTCCTACTTGTCCCCAACAAACCCCTCTAGAGTTCTAGCATGCAAACTGTATTATCAGGTCTTGTTTAGATTGTTCTAGCACTCGCCAAAGATAGAATGTTTTGCGAATCCAATGATATTTGAGTTACTTAAACTCAATTGCTTCAACCTTACATTTCTCACATATACAACTTAGAATTATTTTCTCATCTTGAAATTGTTTTGGGAATTTTCTAAGTCTTCCACTTACACAAAATGGATCCGTTAAATTGATACAAAATCAAATTTTCTTACAATTCTCCACATAAATGAAATTAATGTATGCATGCAATACTTTAGAGTCCCGACGAACCGTCATTGCATCAAGATAGATAGCTTGTGGCTTTGAATATTCCTTAGTAAAATACTATCGGATACACTAGTCAGCTAGTAGCACAATGCTTTGAACTTACCGGTTATTCGTGTACTCACACAACAACAGCTTTAACAATTTCTTGTTCTCACGCTGTGTCCATTTCGGCTTTGGACCATATCTCGGTTTAGTAAGTGTTTGTTCGAAGTGGCCTATTTACTTTCCACTTACAACAGTGATTCTCCTATAAAGAGTATTGTGCCTTACTCCACCCATAGGTATAAGAATCATTAAAAGTCCTCGACTTAACTTCACCAGGTAAGCAGAGTTACACTTGACGGTGCCTTGGGATGTGTGAATTTTTCAAGTGTTTCACTGAACTGTCAAAACTTAGTTTTTCTATTAAACCAAGGTTTCGGAATCTCCGAATCTCAAGGTTGGGTTACCGCTAAGACTGTTCTTATGTTGTGGATTTTAATCGCATTCCCCTAACCAACTTGTACATTTGATCTCGGTTAATGCCTTTAGTAAGCGGATCCGCTGGGTTTTCATTTGATTTGATGTAGTTAACCGAAATAACACCACTCGAGATCATTTGTCTTATAGTATTATGTCTCAGACGTATATGTCGAAACTTCAAGTGTTGTTCGACACTTCAGGTGTACTATTTTATGAGGATTTTTTTTTTAAATAGTTATTGTTAAAAAAAAAAAGGATTTTTAGGTGTACTCTTTTATGAGTTTTTTTTTTTTAATATAGTTAATGTTTTAAAAAAAGGATATGGATATAATATCGAGTAGAATTGAGTTGATTTGATTTAAAAATATAAAAAAAAATTAACCAAGAGCGCTTGGATGAGATGACTTGGGTCTCTTCCAGTTTAACCAGTGGTCTCGTGTTCGAGCCCTGGGAATGTAGCAGTGTTAAAACTCTTGAAGGAGAGCTTTGCCGCCCTTGTGGTCCTACCCGGCTCGATTCCGGATTAGTCGGTTCCCCTGTGGATCCGGAAACCGGAAGGTCCCTATATAAAAAAAAAATATATATATATATAAAAAAAATTATTCAATCAGGTCAAAATGAATTTTAATATGCAGCCAATCGCCTTCAGTTGGCCGAGCCAATCGCCTTCAAGCCGGCCGACCTGTCCAAATATCTCTTTCGTTTAATAGTTGTGCTAGTGTACTGCACTACACAACAAACGGCGGGAGAGCGCGACCGAACCTAAATACAGCAGAACACGCACATCTTATGTTTTACCCAAACGGCGACCTACTCACACTCACACACACACAAATACAGATTGAGATGATGAAGGAAGAAGCTATAAGCTCCTCAGGGGACCCCTTCGTGCCCCCAATGGCTACTTCTTCCCCTAACCTCACTCCCGCGGCGAGGTGAGCTTACTCATCAACCCCCTTTTGTCCCAATTTCACTTTTCAGTTGCCCCAATTTGCTTAGGGGTACTGTGATCTGCTCATATGTTCCTGGAAGCGTAAATTTCCCAAGGCCAATCGTGTGCTTGAACCGCTGCCAGTCTATTTTTTATTCTCTTTATTTTACCCACTATTTTCTTTATGTGTAATATGCTTCAAATAAGGGCTTGTTGTGCCTTGGGTCGCCTTAGTGATCTTTTGTTTACTAATTTTGTTTGAATGCTAACTGATTATGATTGTTGTGTTTGGCTTTGTTCAATATTTTGTGGGGAAGAGGTTTTATTCGTATCGATTTTTCCATTTTTTTTCTTTTCCTGAATTCAATTTGTTGTGAAGAATTCATACTTATTTGAAGTCACTTGGTTCGTAGATGTGAAATGGAGATGCTTGGAATGATGTTAATGACTTCATCAGTAATGCTAAGGAGCCAACTGTTGACTCTTTAGCATTATTGATGACTTCATTTGCTCTATATTTTTTTTTTACCCCATTATGATTTTTGTATAAATTTGATTCTGGAAATAGGTTGTGAGGTAATGTTGGATTTCGTCTTTTGAAATAGAGGAAGGTGGTCAGCTTTCCATGAGGAAAGTTGATAAATTATCTCTTTGTCTCTCTGAAATTTCTGTAAAATAGGTGACAGCTCAATGATACTTGCTTTCTGGCACGGACTGTTAGTAAATATTTTTTGGCTTCACAAATTTATGTTGGTATGCTGTATTGAGCAGTTCTGCTGGTGCATCATCCCCTGCTGTTACTATAAAAGCTGGCAGCACAGACAGGTTAGGTCAAGGACATAATACAAAAGGAAGTTCACTTTCTCGCATGTGTTTGCCGCCCACGAACATGTCATTGAGCACTAGTGCTTGTGGTTCTACTCTTGGATCAGCACAGCCTTCTTGCAGGCCCTGGGAAAGGGGTGATCTATTGAGGCGTCTCTCGACATTCAAACCTGCGAATTGGTTTGGCAAGCCTAAGGTTTGAATTAGCTTTACTGGTTTTACGGTCATGTTGTATATAGTCGTCTTTCAATCATCATCTGTTCACATACTTTAAGTACTGGCTTTTTTGCACATATATGAAGATAAGTTCCAGCGATTATGTGCATTCTAATTGACATGATACTGGACATTTAATTGCTCGACTTTCACAGCTTTTGCTTCTATTCTATTTTTATTTATTATATTTTTTTTTTTTTTGGGCTAGACCTAGTGAGAAAATTTTCCTTGTGCTTACGTTTGTGTGTTAATTCAAATGCTGAATTCCTGGTTCAGGCAACAAGTTCTCTGGCCTGTGCCAGGAAAGGCTGGGTCAATGTGGATGTTGACAAAGTTGAATGTGAGTCTTGTGCTGCCATTCTAAAGTTTGTCTCTTCCTCTACTTGGACTCCTGATGAAGGTAAACCTGGGAGAGTTTCATCTTTTTCGACACCTTGTTGTGATTTTATCCGGCGATTGCAAAAGCTGGTTAAGTTGTTACATGTTCCTTGTCTTGTACATATTGTTGTTGTCACCAGTTCAGATATGTTTCTTTAGCTGTAAAAAACAGAGTTTAGTATGCTAGCTTTCGAATAGAAATAGCTCTACTATAGCTTCTGGTTTCTCTTGTAGCTAATGCTGCCGGAGAAGAATTTGCCAAAAGACTTGATGAAGGACATAAAGTTACCTGCCCATGGATGGGAAACTGCTGCGCAGAAAGTCTGGTACAGTTCCCACCTACTCCGCCGTCAGCACTTATTGGTGGTTATAAGGATAGATGTGATGGACTGCTCCAATTTCCTTCTCTTCCTATTGTGTCTGCATCTGCAGTTGAGAAAATACGGGTGTCCAGGGGCCCAGAGATTGACCGCTTGCTGGCCCAATCTCAGCTTGCACGTAGTGAATCTGGCATAAAGCTGGAAATTCTATTAGGAACTGAGAACTCCAAAGATGATGTCTTCTTCATATACACTCGAGTAATAAAACGTTGTGGCAATATAAAAATCATATTTGACTGTTTTGTATAATTTGACCCTGGGTGAAACTTCCACTGACTTGCAGGCTCAGAAGCTGATAAGCCTTTGTGGATGGGAACCCTTGTGGCTTCCAAATGTCCAAGATTGTGAAGAGCACTCTGCTCAATCAGCTAGGAATGGATGCTCGACTGGTCCTTCCAGATATCGGGGTCCTCCTCGTGATCCTAGTCGTGGCAAGAAAGCATTGTCCTCTTCTACGAAAAAGAATTATGCTATCAATGAAGCTTTAGGTACTTGCTCAAAAACTTTATCCAGGTCTCCATTGTTGGATTGTAGCTTATGTGGTGCAGCAGTGAGAATCTGGGACTTCCTGACTGTCCCACGCCCTTCTAGCTTTGTTCCTAACAGCACTGACGTCCCAGAAACTGGAAAGAAGTCGGTATTAACACGTGGAGTAAGTGCAGCGAGTGGTATCGGTGGGTGGGTTGCTGCAGATGGTATAGATAAGGACCATGCAGAGGACCAGGATGAAGTTGCAACTGGTGAAGGAAAATCATTGTCAAATATCGGCGTGGATTTGAACTTTAACACATCAGCTGGATTGTCTTCTTCACGGCTGCACATGAATTTAACATCTGAACAGTACCAAGATGCCGGTAGAAGAAGAGATCTACTGACTGGGCAGCCTTCTGGCAGTGAGGTTGGTGATCGTGCAGCTTCATATGAATCACGTGGCCCCAGTTCCCGCAAGAGGATCCTAGATGAGGGTGGAAGCACTGTTGACACGCCACAGTTACTTGTTCAACGAGCAGACAGTGTCGAAGGAACTGTCATCGACCGCGATGGTGATGAAGTGGATGATGGCGGGCAGTACTTTGCTGGCCCTTCAAAACGTGCTCGTGACTCTGTTGTGGGTCCTATCCAGGTGCCACATGCTAAAGACTCCGCTGGTGCGGGTCCTAGCCAGTCATTTGGCTTTGACGTTGGTGTCGATCCTTGTAAAGATGATTTTGGTCAGGGTCCTGAACAAATAATTGGTAATCCATCAACCAGAGATTCACCACATGTATCCTCTGTTATTGCAATGGACACAATTAATCACGATGCAGATGATAATTCAATGGAGAGTGTTGAGAACTATCCTGGAGATTTTGATGACATACATTTGCCTTCTACATCGACAGTCAAGAACACGGACGCCAATGAGACATCAGAACTGAACTATAGTAACCAAGCACAACAAAGCACCTGCCCAGTGGCTGTGAGAAGTACAGGTGAAATAGGTGTAAGCAGTACAAATGAAGAAGTAGTGAATGCCGATACTGGTACTACACATGGGAAGTACGGTTTCAGCTTCGGAATTAGTGGTGGAAGTGTTGGAATGGGTGCTAGCCATGAAGCTGAAATACATGGGAATGATGCTTCCGCTTACAGAGTAGATAGTGTTGGTGGTGACCTAGAACCTGTTGCTGAAGTAACTGACAACCAGGGTCAGACTGGTGAATTTGGTCCAGATCCAGGGTTAATGGGTGATTTTGTCCCTGAAGATATGGACAGAGAGGATCCTCAAGGTGATAGTCAAGAATTGATGTCCGAATCAATAGTAAGAGAAGATAGTGGCTCGAAAATTGTGGGTTCAACAAAGGCAGATTCTGTTGAAAGTGGAGGAAAGATGAGTAACTTGCGGGCCACCTCATGCGACAACAGCCCCCATCCTTCACTTTCTTGCAATGCTATTTTGTGTTCTGGCTTTGAAGCATCCAAGGAAGAAGTAACTCAGGCTCCCGATCGGACTACCGATGACTGCGGATATGTCGAGTCAGGGTACAACGTTGCAAACGGATCAGGTAGATTTGTGTTGCTTATGATGATTGTTTCAACTTGGTACTATCTGGGATTCAATCCAATGTTTTTGACTTTTGGCTCTAAGTTAAAAACCTTCACTATGGATTTATTGGAATCATCTTGGTCTTTAATTTGCTGTGAAATAATGAGCTTCTACTGGTCAGGAACTATAAAATTGGTGGAACCTTTTAAACTCCATGCGATGGTTAGCTGTAATTGGCCATATGCTTACTTCCTTTATAACTATATTTCTTTCCTCCTTTATTCTTTTATACATTTGTCAATTTATTTATTCATTGCTTTTGCATGTGGTATTATTAGGACCTCCCAGTGGCGGAAACAACTATGACGAAGTGATAGAATTTGATCCAATTAAGGACCATAATCACTTCTGTCCTTGGGTGAATGGAAATGTTGCTGCAGCTGGCTGTAGTAGCAGTGGTGGTGGCTCCAGTTCCAGTCCTGGTGCTCTCGCGCTGTGTGGTTGGCAGCTGACATTAGATGCTCTAGACGCATTTCAATCACTAGGACAGGTTCCAGTCCAAACAGTGGAGTCCGAATCTGCGGCTTCCTTGTATAAGGTCTGCTTGCATATTCATACTTTTTTAACTGCTATTTTTAAATTTTATTTCAATATTTTCATTGTTGATATGATATTGTCATTTCTAATTTCTTAGTTATGTTCACTAAAAAAATCTGATGAATCAATGTAGAATTAGTTTTCTCTCGTGTGTAATGTTATAGGCGAGTGGTCGTCGATGAGTAAACGTCACAGGTTGTTATGCCCCCTGTGCATCCTTTCTGCCGGTATATGCCCAATAGTTTTTTGGACGCCCTTTCTTGTGTCTCTGGCTTCAGCTGTTGTCTTTGTTGTATT